TATTTTTGTTATTAATTTTCCAAAATACCAGCATTGTAATGCCCCTATAAAATTTGGTCATTGTTCTTTAAGTTGATTAAATTTGTGAAAATATTAAGGTTTATAATAAATACCAACTTTGAATATCATTTTTATATTAGTAAAATAAAAAATTATTTATAAATTCACATTGAGTTTCTATGGAGACTTTTTAGAAATCTCACTTTTTTGATTTTAAAATAATTAATTAACCATAGTAGTTACACAAATAATCTTAATTAGTAAATTAGTCTTCATTATCTACAGAATCATTCTGTGAAAACAGCTTTTTGATTAAACCATAGAGAGAGATTTTATTCAACAAATTAAAAATCAAACTGTTATGTCCTTACGTGTATATTCTTAATTAGTAAATTAGTCTTCATTATCTACAGAATCATTCTGTGAAAACAGCTTTTTGATTAAACCATAGAGAGAGATTTTATTCAACAAATTAAAAATCAAACTGTTATGTCCTTACGTGTATATTGTTTGCAGTCATCGCACGTTTGAGTGCATTTTTTATTTGCAATACGTGGGCAACTATAACATCGATATTGAAGTGTTTTTCCCTTTTTTCGTTTGGATGACTCTCCTGTAGTATCACTGGTATTGATCACATGATTTGGAAATTTCAATATTTTATTTATAATAAATCTTATGTCTCTTCTAAGTGTTTTATTTGTCAATCTATGGGCCATTTGATTAGCACACAGTTCTTCACCCAATGAATGCAAGAACTCTCTTCTTAGTCGAGATTGAATGGGTCGCGGATTTTTATGTGAATGAAAACTTTTGTATAATATAAAACTGTTGACAGCCATTATGTCTATAATACAAAAAAATGATGCTGTTGGCCATCGCTTAGTTGCTCTCCCGGAAGTATATGTTGAACAAAACTGGTCAGGTGTATCTACACCTCCTTTCGTGCGATTGTAGTCCTCAATCATTTGAGGTTTATATGAAATGGGATTGATTTCTTCGTCTTTATGCATAGAGATAAGCAATAAAACACTCTTATTTTTCTTGGGATAATAAGCTAAAAGTGTTGTTGTATTTGTGTGTACGAATTCACACGAACCAACCTATTGTTTATTAGTATATTTTTATTAGTTTATTTGTATAATTTTAGTTTAATATTATAATGTAATAGATTTGTAATAAATACCTGTCGTTTCTTATTTTCAATTAGACGTTTAGGAATTTCTTTCTTGTTTTTCTTAATAGTTCCCAAATATGTTAAATTGTGTTTCAAAAGCTCTTCAACTAATGGATAACTCGTAAACCAGTTGTCACACGTAATATTGCGTCCACTGTTACGCAACGGTTTTGTCAAATCCAACACAATATTGTTTGACAAGTTTTTGGCTCTTATATTGTTTGCTGATTTCCCGGTATAGTACAGTGCGTCCCAACAATAAGAGGTCTTTGCCTCACATAAAATGAATATTTTCAGCCCATACTTTGCAGGTTTATTGGGCATATATTGTTTGATACTCACTCGCCCTCGAAATGATCTTAACATTTCATCGATAGTGATATATTCAGATATTTCATAATTTTTTCGACAATTTTTACGAAATATGTTAAAAATTTCGCTAAATAATGCCAGTTTATCACCTTGTTCTTTCCTCACATCTCGCGACAGTATATGATCGAAACAGATGTGTTCTGTAAGGAATTGGAATCGGCGTAAAGGCATAACAGCTCTGAAAATATCCCTCCCTCTTCCATTTGCATTCCATAAATCGCACACATTTTCATGTGCCGATCGGTGAACGCCTATCAATAGAGACAATCCTATCCATGCCATCATTTCTCTCTCATTTGTTTGATAGCAATAATTTTCACTTGGCTTTACTTTTTTGGTATCACTTACTCTAATCGTGATCTTTTGATTAGTATACATCACTATTAGTTGTAGCATATCGGTAGTTAAAAATTGTTTGAATGTAGAGATGATAGTTTGACACTCATTTTCGCTCACTTTTGGGCCCACTTTAAATCTGATAATGTTATGCGTTAATGTTTTTGTTGCTGTCGGCAATGAATTGTTCTGAAGACTAGAATTAGATGTATATAATTGAGATGTATTATTAGTAATGTCATCGTTTGAATCAGAATAGTAGACCGGTTCTGAATCAGTGTCTAATTCAAATTCTGAAGCATTATTGTGTTCATTCTGTTCTGTAATGTTTGATTCAATGTCACTGTCGTTATCTTCATAATTATTAAACACTTCATTTATATCGTCAGACATTTTGAACTATTATATTGAGTAAAACACAACAATAATTAGTGATAAATTACATTATATATCGTTTAATTAATTTAAACAAATCACTACATATTAGTTACCTGTAAATTGTTTATATTATATATTATGTGTTTGGTGTTGAGTATAATACAAACAATAATCACAATTATTTGTACATTATAGCACAAATAATAGTTTATAAATGAATACAACAAACAAAATTCTTAGTAATCCAAATTAATTGGTAAAAATAACTATTCTAAAATTGATCACAACTAGAATGATAAAAATTATTCAAAACGCGATCTTGCTTAAATTGACAGATAGTAATCACAAACTGCTGTGACGTTTATGTCGTGAAATACAGCCCCCACTCCCTGTACGAGTAGTGTGAAAATGTCCATGGTTATATTTCCGGACAGGTATGGTATGGAATCGTTGGCTAGGTTGGAGCCGTCGCGGCGCGCGACACCGGCTATTATATCTACATCTGTCATACAGTTGTAATTATAATTAGAAAAATAGCATAGCTAACTAAAAATGGTTTAGTTAATTTATAACTGTTACCTGGATTAAAATGGCCTTCATTAAAAGCATTTGTGGCCAGTTGAGGCAAAAACTCTGTACCTTCTTGTATGGGAAATATATGCCCTTTAGTTACATCCCGGAGCTGATTGGCGCCGACACCTCTAAGACATTGTAACCACTCGTCGTTGTCATCGGAAGTACAATTCAATTCAGTGGCCATTTGTTTGGCGGCCGACAGGGCCTCCAGTTTGTTGACAATACCCCGCCGTTTGTCCCATAAAAGTGCTCCGCTTTGCATAATAGCCCTCCGGAAAAGACCCCGCGATAGCGGGGAGAGTATGTGCGCCGATACGGACCAACTGCCGGCGTTGTGACCAAATAGAGTAACCAGGTTTTTGTCCCCACCAAACAGGTGTATGTTTTCCCTAACCTATTGTTATAAAACACTTTTACAACGTTTATAAATTAAGTTAAAAATTATAATAATAATAAAATATAAATTGAATACCCATTTGAGTGCCAATAACTGATCATAAAAACCTGCATTTCCCGGCGCTGTCTCATCCGCACCTCCATAGGTAAACCCAAACGGACCCAATCGGTAGTTAACGGTCACCACTACTACCCCATTGGCCGCCAGTACCGCACCGTTGAACCACATATAGTGAGCCGTGCGCTGGTAAACAGACCCTACGGTCAGTGACCCGCCGTGGATCCAAAACATGACTGGTTTAAGTGCCAATTGAGTGTTATTATGTGGCCGATAGGGTGACCATATGTTCAGCACCAGACAGTCCTCACTTTGTGTTACATTTCCGTATTTCCGCTCGTAGTCTGCATTAATGGGTTGAATGCAGGCGTACTTTGTTTTACTGCCGTCGATAATGTCCTTGTATTTTATGATTGTAATAATAAGTTAGACTTTGTTATTAAACTAGATTATGTATTAAATTATGTTAAAATTTTAATTACCTGAAGTAGTGTAGCGATGGGCACAGGTTTGGCGAACCGGAGTCGACCGATGGGAGGTTCGGCGTAAGGTATGCCCAAAAACTGGTCAATACTGGCGTTTAACCCGTATATAGTCTGACCTCTAACTACACCTGATGTAGTGTTTATATCGATGTAAGCGTTTATACAATGATTAATTGTGATGGATATACTTAATAGTACATAGTAAGAATTTTTATATAGCTTTTTCATAATTAATAAACTTATTAATGTCATAATTTAATAATATTAACTACATAGAGAGAACATATTATAATATGGATTTTATATTTAAGCTTAATACTTTTAATAACTAAGATTTAAAATCAGGATATTATGAAATTTTTTAAATATATTTTTAAGCTATGTTACTTAAAATTTACATAGTGTATAAATTATAACATAATGTATTCTTTGTAATTGACATACAATATTTTATAATACTGCTATAAATTATAATAAAAATAATAACAATTTTATATAATAACATGTGGCATTTATATAAATATTTAACTGAAATAAAATGTGTGAGTATTAATCATTATTAATAATAAGTTAAGATATAATACGAACTAGATCACTAAATTTAATTATAAATAATTATAAATATTTAACTTAATTTAATAATCATTTTAAAAAACGGGTCGTTGACTAATAGACCAACAAACAATTATATTTAAAAATTTTAATAAATATCTATTGATTTGGTCATTTATTTACAGTTTATATTAATTTTTAAATTTATAATTAAGAAATAAATATAATATTTCTGACAGAAAACAGACCGTAGAGACTGTATAGCCAACAATTAATAGAGAGATATCATTGCGGTAAACATCAAGTAAACTAATACCGATAAATTGTGAGCTAGTCGTATTTAATTTTCTGTTTTGCATAATCTTAGGCACATTAATTCCCTCGACCATGTACATGCGGACAATAAACATACGAATGATATTGTCATGTATATCCAGTCCACACTCTAGAATACGTTTATATCTACACAAAATTTCATTATTTTACAAAAATATTTTACATATGTACTACTAGTAATTTACAAATGTAATATACGTACGCAAATTCTATCTGTTTTACATGTTTTCCGCCTTTAATTATTCTCATAAACCCAAAGAAATATAGATAACTCTTATCGTTTGGCGATATTGCAAATTGATCATGGTCAATCATGTGATATTCAGAAAAGAGATTAATAAATGTTGAATCAGAAATCATGACAATCTTGTTGTTTGTCAGATCATCAAATGACGGATAATATGTTTGTGACATTTTATTTGCACCTAGGCGCTTAATCAAACTCATAGTAACATCTCTATCAATATAATTACTATAATATAACATTATTATCATCTTTGCATTTAATCCGACAATAGGTATCGACTCGTGTCGGCACAACTCATCCAATGTCTCAACCATTGGTACAGAACTCACTCTGAAATAAGTTTTAAGTAATAAACTCGCAAATGATTTAGTGATTATCAGCGCACTTATTATCCATACAATTCTTAACATGTTGAATGTGTAAAATATAAGTTTGTTACCCGCCTCGTTTTGAAATTTATAACTTGCTAAGCTAATATTTGCTTGTCCAGTAAAGCTTCTAATTATATCCAAATATAAATCAATTACTTTTAACCGATGTTTAATTAATTGTTTAAATAAACATGGCAACGTAATA